CAGGAAGATGATATTCTAACTTCTTTTATAAAAACTGTTTGAAATCCAGATAGAGATTTTCCATGTGTATGTCTCCAAGTTGAACAAAATAAAACATAAAGTTCGTAAGCTTGCTCATAAGCTACAGTTATACAACTGGAAATGTCTGTCAATCATTTAATTCTTTGTGTTTTGTGGATCTAACAAAATAGTGTTCCTGCACTGTAATGTTGGGAGGCTAGCTTTGCTGCTGACAAGGGGAACTGGAGGACTAATTTACCCTTTCTATCATGTGTTGGTTTAGGCTTTTTAGCTCTTTAGCCCCAGTACCGTTACTTGGGATTTAGCATTATGTTGCCTTGAATCCAGTTTTATCATGGAATTCTAATGTTCAACTAAATGGCCTTTCTCAAGGATAGCTGCAAAATCAAGTATTACTACTATTTATGAATCTCCTCAAACAACGAATACTCTGAAAGTGCACTTGATGGTTCATTCCTCCTGGGTTATCAAATGGCTTGCTGAGTAACTGAGTTCTGAAGGACCTTTGCTTTATCTCATTTGCTTTCTTTTTCATTAGCCTCCAGTACATGCAGCACATCAGTGTTAATAGTATTAATATTATTTCAGTTCTTTTTGGTTATTAGGTATGTTCTTAAGTGTTTCACAGATGATAAAAAAGAGTATTCCTGTAGTCTTATTACGCTAGCATAAACCAAAATGAGTAGCCCTTTATTTGTGTTTGTGTTGAGTGTTTGTGTTTGTGGTTTCATCAAAATCAAGGTATGATTCATCATCTAATTAAGAGCTACAGAATTAGAGCTTTTATATAAGAGAAGCTACAACAAATATGCTAAACTTTGGGTTAAGGACAGGAAAAGATAAGGTTTAGAGCAAGAAGGAAATGGGATAGCTACCTTTTTTTTTTTCTTTACCACTTTTTTCTTAATCTAATTACATGCTATCACCTGGCAGGTGGACTTTTTTTCAGAGCAGATCAAGATAGCTTTGGGAGAAAAATCCCTTATATGTCAAAGAAAACAATCGTGTTAAAAAGAAGAAATAAGGTGATGAAGGAGAGTGGGACTCTTTGTTGGATATTCCTTAACAATGCATATGAGCTGAAGCAAATGTACAAAGGTGCACATGATCCCTAACAGTTCAGCAAACCGTTGTGTTGAGGAGTCTGCAAGGAGGTAAAATTGTAGTAGAGGTGCTCAGTTTTACAGTGTAGATGGCTTTGGCGAGATTCATATCTGTCAAGAATACCTGGCCTCTTCCTATCACAGTAAATATACTGTGAAAGACCAGTGGATTATAGTGTGGAAGCTCCACAATAAAACTGCAGCCAAGAGACTACCTAGTGAGGGTATGATTTTCTGGAAGCCCTTCAAAGACATATGATGTCTTGAATCATGTGACATTTTCAAACAGAAGATTTAGTAACAAAGACAGAACTTTCTCACTGTTTTCACGTGGCACTCCATAGACAGAAGCAAAAGAGAACATATTTATATTGGCTGTAATGATTAATTGGATAATGACAGTAGTAGCCACAGCTGGTAACACTTGCATACGAGAAAGTCACAGCTATTCTTTTTGTAGAAAATGTCTAATAAACCCTTCCTTCTCACAGTAGGTGATTTCCTTCTTTTTAAAAGTCCTGAGAGCTTTCATGATGTGCAAAGTTTCTTATATTCCAGGGAAATTCAAGAGGTGCACGTCACTGAATGCCGGTACTCTTCTAACAAAGTGGTGTTGCTTTTCAGTCAAAAAGCCATTAATCAGCTAGGACAGTGATCAGAGCATGAAGAGGCTTGGTCAGCACCACTTGCTCTGATTATGTTTCTGAACTGCATAGATTGGTAGAGGAAGAAGCTGTAAGTTGGCCTTATCATTCAGTCATCACTCAGGGCTGTAATATGCAATATAATATTAGATTTGTGTGAGATTTTCATCTGTAGGCTGTTGTTCCTAATGTGTGTGCTTGAAATAGATGGTTACTTACATGACTGGTGTCAGTGTATTACATTTCCTGGAAGGTTTTACTGCTTTATGGCAAGGCTTCTCTTCAGTGTGTTTTTTTTTTTTTTCATATTCAATATAGAGAGAAAGCCCAGTGATTGGAAGGTCTGCTACTTAGATGTGTGTAAAGAGGCACCTCCAGCTCTGTAATGAGACATTTCTGCACTGGTTTATTTAAATTTTTCTTATATTTGGTTTGATTATTTTGGAGCCTCATCTCTATTACTGTACGTGTGTCAACACTGCATTTCATTTGGCATGTGGCAGCTCATTGATCACATAGATCTGTATCCTTTTGAACTTCACTTGCTGCTGTGTATGTGTTCATCACTCACTCTGATTTAATGCATCATCAGCAGTTTGAATTAGTTACTGTAGGAATCTCTGCTTCTGTGATAAATTAACTGCTTTTGTACTTTAGGCTTCACATTGTACATTTGGAAGAAGAACTTCCATACTGTGCTTTGGATATATGCTGTCTTTTTTGGTGCTGTTGAGTGGCCACTGTATTGAAACAAATTGGTCAACCTTTCAGAGGAGCTGTCTGGGGAAATGTGACATGCAGGCTGTTAAATACAGCAAGGTTTAGATTTCAATCACTTTTTACTATCATAAAGCTAGCTAGTTAGACTTTCTTTCATCCATACTGCTTAGTATTTCTGGCTTTTTAGACACCTCTGTTCATGCCTGTGTTCTGTTTGAATTGTGGCAGTCAATACGAAATCCTATCAGGAACTTTCTAGGTGAAAAATAAAGCTCTAATGTGCTATTTTCGATATGGTTTGCCACTTCTGTCCAAGAATCTAGTCATACAAGAAGTGTATTCATCTATTTCCACGGTATTGTTTTATAATCTATTTTTTACATAGTATATTAAACAGGTTTCAGTGTACCCATTTTATCATACCTATTTATTATATCTTTATTCCCAATTCACAACAGTTAGCTGTGTGCTATTTAAAATGAGACATCATTAGAGACTTCTTAATAGAGTTTTCTGTAAGAACAAAAAAAGTCAGGCACCTTAGGATCAGGCTCAGTGAAGCAATGAGCTGCAATGCTGTCCCTGGATCAACAGTGCTCATGGAACTACCTGGAGTCTTCCTCTGCTCAGTGGGAGGATGTAACTTCTGCCACCAGGCAGGAACATCTTTACAGCTGGAGTACCTCTGGTGTTGCAGGTCACCTCGCTGGTGCATTAAAGCAGATGTTGAG